CTGACACATTTTGATGCAAAAGAGATTATACAGACAGACAACAGACTCTAAAACAAAAACACTGACTCGAACTATGAATACATTAAAGCTCCAAAGGTTAGTGCCCGCGAGGCATCGTTCGGCCTTTCCGCGGGCATACTTGCGAGATCCCTTTCAAGTTGCTCCAGTTCGTACATTGTCTGCTTGACGAAAATCATTACTGCTGACATGAAGGTAGTGCGGGTCATGTCTTCACACATTCGGCATCTCCTAATGATGGTATGGGCAATAGTCCCAATCTTGTCCCTCTTTATTTGCCGCGTATGTTTTGCTCGCACTTATGTACCCCTTGAAGAAATCTGCCTCGGCTTTACAAGCTGTGGGGGCTCAGTACATCTTGGATACCATCATAGGGGCCAGTGTGCTTTTATTGTTGTCAATCAGGGTTTCGACGACTCCCGCCACCTTTAAATCAATATTTCTATCTTTCCGTGGAAACACCACAATGCCCCAGAATGCTACCATGAAGGTGAACCACCTATGTTTATCCCATTTTGTCTGATTCCCTTTACTGCAAACCCCGCTTTTGTATCGTCGAACCCTCTTATATGTACATGAACTGCAGAGTAGGGAGACTTTATCCGACTCGGGATTCCCTTGCTTATCTTTAGTAGATCCATGCCCTGGTGCGTATCGACGGCTCTTGGAGCAATCAGATATTTGTGCCTTAGCCCCTCAGTAATGTCCCTATAACCTGCTACCTCTTTCGGGGTGAGTTCAAAATCTGAGAAGTGGACTACATTGTGGGCTGTGTCCCAAAATGTAACCAAAGCTTTTATGATATTCCCCTAGGATTAATCTTCAACAACCCAGTGAGGTCTCCCAGGTATAGCTTGACCGTGTCGCCCCCTGATTCGCCCAAGTCATCCCACCACATGTGCAACTCCAAAGAGATCTTGTTCACTATTGTTACGTATAAATTCTGACTTGTTCTCATTCTGCACATTTATTAGGGTGATTTAAGAAATAAAATTTATTTGACTCAACAAATTGACTATTTTTTTTAATTTTTCACAGATTAAAAAGGAAGATCCGGTTCCGCACACGGCTTTTCAGCACTTCGGGAACGAAGATTTTAAAGCTGGGTGAGTCAACCGGTCAAAAAATCAAAACAAATGACTAAAAGTGGCCGTTTATGCAAAGTCGGCCTTCCGGCATCCCTTTCGGGAACATTCGGCTATTCTTGCCAAAAACGGCATCACCTGACTTATTTATGTTGACAATTAAAATTCGACATTTTTTTTGGCTATTTTTGTAAAAGGGGAGGTTGGACCCAATGAGGATTGCCTACGTATCTCACATCCGGTGAGAATCAAACCGGCGTAGTTCGGGCCGATAAAACAAACTCTTTTTTTTTTTAAAAACGAAACTCCTTTTTTATTGGCAAATAAAACTATATTTTTTTTTCTTTTCATTTTCTCAAAATTTCGGCAGAGTTTCGACACTATTTGGACATTGGTTTTTTTTTTCAAAACAGGCGATTAACTCTCTTTAACCCTTGTACCTCTATCTCTCTTTCCTCAAAATATTCAAAAGCCGGTCAACATGCAAGTCCGAAGCAAACAAATGCACAAGTAGCAAATAAGATGCATCAGGATGGTCTCTTGTCATTTTTGGTACACTTGTCCTAGACAGACCCAACCCCTGTGTTGAGCCTCCAAAGTCAAATGCACGTGATGCAAACAAACGTTCCTACTAGGGATTCGGCATGAAACTGAGTTATTCTCGGTTTATAACCTGAGTATTTTTTCTAGACTGTGTACCCGAGCGGACGACTCGAGTCGAGGAGGGGGCTACGTACCGGGAACCAAAAGGCCATCTGGCTTAGTAACTTGTCAGGCCTCTTTCTTATTTCAGGGTATGACACTAACAGAATAGGGAGTCTCAACCAGTAAGAACATCCCCGGAGGCAAGAAGAGAAAGGGTTCGGCACAATTTATATACAGTTCGGATAATATCAAAGCGGTAAAAGCATCATTTAGCACATTAGGCCCAAACATGTAACAAAATCAGATAAAGCCAAATATAACAATTTATCTAAGCTCGAATTCTGAACCCTGAACCAGAGATTCTGGGTTCGGTCCCTAGCAGAGTCGCCAGAGCTGTCACACCTCATTTTTCAGCTACACCCCGCAAAGGGGCGTAGAAGGGAGTTTTTCCAATTAAAGGACAATCGAATGGGATTTTATTTAAAGATTCAGAGTCGCCACTTGGGAGATTTGTAGTGTCCCAAGTCACCGGTTGAATCCCGAATCGTGGAAAAGAATGACTCTATTTAACGGTCTGTGCACCAAAAATCCGGATAAGGAATTCTGTTAACCCGGGAGAAGGTGTTAGGAATTCCTGAGTTCCGTGGTTCTAGCACGGTCGCTCAACTGTCATATTTGGCTTGTTTATCTGATTTTTAATACATGTTGAATCTGTGTGCAAATTTTAACTGTGTACCACTCTTATTATTATTATTTTTACCGAGAATTGCAACATCGTGAAAATACATCTCGAACCACGTCACATCAATGCACCCGTGGTTATTGACACATTTCAACTCTATTGAGATTTGGATTTGGGTCACATAAATGTGCACCCGAGTTTAAGAAGATAATATTATTAAATACGCGCCTAAAGTGACTAGCGTATCATTATTTTGGGTAGGGCCGCGAAATTTTGCTAAACAGTCAATCCCGAAGTCTAAGTAATTTTACCAACACGTATAGAGGGCCCCGCAGCTTGTGTACTTTTGTTTGTCAAGGCTCGTCTCTTTCATTATTTTTAAAAGGAATTTGCAACGTCGTGGAAATGCATCTCGAACCACGTTACAATCAATGTACCCGTGATTAGCGACACATTTCGACTTCGTTGAGATTTGGATTTGGGTCACATAAATGTGCACCCGAGTTTAAGAGATTNTTCCTCTTTTTAAACTCTCCAGCACTCTTTTAAGATTTTCAGAATCTTTTTTCTCCTCCCCTCAAGTCTCTACTGATCTTTATATTTATACCAAAACCTTCAACCCTTTCCCGCCCTTCTTCTTGTGTTTTGCTCCCCTTATTTATAGCCAAAACTCCATTAACTTTATCTGCCTTGAAACACTTAAATTAATCCGAAAATGTTCTCCCCACACTTGCATGCCTAGTTCCCCATTACTATATGTTTTGTCCTCTTTTTAATTCACTTGTTCCCCACTACTACATGTCTTTTCTTTATTTAATTCCCTTATTCCCCACTACTGCATGCTTTGTCCCCCACTATATTAAATAATGCATTATTGTCCACTACCATATGTGTTGTCCCTCCACTATGTATTAAACAATGTATTAATTCTCACCATCATATGTCTTGTCCCCCACTAGGTATTATTTTAATATTATTAATGTCTAGTAGACGGAGCACTCAAATTAATCATTTTTAAGACTCATAGCCCATATTACCCCTGAAACTACTGAAATTACCATTCTACCCCCATCCCCTTTGATCTGTATTACAAACCATATCAGCTATAACCAATTCATCTAATCAATTATCCAATTAATAATCAAACTCTGAATAAACAAACTCGCCAAACAAACTCCTAATCGACAACGTTCATGAATTAACAACAGAGTCAGATTCATATCAGAACAAACTTAACGGAACAAGCGAGTAGATTTCAATCACTAAACTTAAACATCAATCAAACTCAAAACAGTAGGAAAGTCATCAAAACGCACACACACACAATTTCAACGAATATTNTAGCTTGGGTTATGGGGCGGACCGGGTCAGTGGGTTTTTGGGTTGGATAAGGGGTTATTTGGTTAGGGCCTGGTTGATTTAATTTAAAAGGTGGCCCAGTCTGATTTTCTTCTTATTTCCATTGCTTCTTTTTCTTCTTTTATTTTTCTTAAAATAAAACTAAAATTCTAAAAATCATAAATTAGCCTATAGAACTAAATTAATTTATAAAAGTGCTAATTAACTCTTAATAACAATTAACACATAATTAAATAGCAATTACGATAAAATCACACAATTTGGACATTAAATGCTAAAAATGCAACGTACATTATTTTTATGATTTTTGTTTTTTGTAAAAACAAACTTAATCACTCCTAATTGTAGAATAGAATCCTAAATGCAAGTGCGAATATTTTTGTATTTTTTATTAATTTAACAAATAAACATGCACGGACAAATACAAATAATTATCCAAAAATGCCACGAAAATTCTCAAAATTGCGCACAAAGAAAAATTATTTTATTTTAAATTTTTGGGAGTAATTCTCACATAGGGAAAAAATCACGTGCTCACACCCTTCTCCACTTAAATATCAGGCTTTGTTTTGCATGGTGTGGGGGCTTGAACCCGTGACCTAAGACACAAATCCACCACCAAGGGCCTAGCTTTGCAAATATTGTGATGATCAATGATTAATCAGGCTGCAAAAGCATGCTTAAATATAGTTGAAAGACCAGTAAATAAAGTCACAACAACATCAAAACAACCACCAGATGGACAAAAAAAGAGAGTTCAGCCTTAGCTAATTATATGGTATTAATATAACTGATATAATTTGTATGAGAGCTATCACTCAAAACTCTATTTTGTGACAAGTGAGAACAAAAAATTAAAACTAACAGAATCATTCACATTGCTAGCTGCTTCTGTCTTTTTAGGATGAAAGATTAAGACAAATAGGGCAAATAGTCATAGGTCACAGCAACCATGGATTAATGCCTATGTCTATTTATAACCGCCATCATTCAAGACCAGGGAAGGCAAAAGAAATAATCCAGCCAAAATTTGTTCTATTTTCTGAAAGAGTTCATAAGGGAACCATCCTTGTTGTACTGGAGTAGATCTGTTTTTACAAATTTATTAACTAGGCAATTGGCCAGATGAGGACCTAAGACCAGAGCATGCAGCAAAATCAAGCAATGGATCTAAGAAAGTCAACTCTGAGGCACAACTTTTTCTATTTTTGTCTAGGCATTCAAGTTGCCTAGAAGTAAAAATCTTCCTTTACGGTCCTAAATTCTTCGCTGAGTTACTAAAACAGTTTAACCAAAATATAGGAGACAGAGGCATAGATAACACTTCTTGACCACTAAGAGTTGATTAAAATATACCTTCAGAAGGGAAAGCAAATGCTGATCCATGTCATTGTTAGAAAAGCAACAACTTGACTGAGTTATCAAGTGACTGGTTGAATAATTGTCCAGCATCACCAAGAACCAAAGATTTACTTGCACAAGCCACCAGAGAAGAATCTTCAATTGGGCCAGAGGAATTTATTAATTTCTGCACCAATACTTGTCACAAAAATGGATGATAAACCAACTATAGTACCACAATAAACAGATAACGAGAGGAAACTCAAGATGTACAAAATGTAACAAATTTTTATCTGACCAAGAAGTTCTTGAGTTGAAGTTTAGCATTGGCAAGTATATCCATGGTGGCACTTGTAGCCTGACCAGAGCCAGAAAGACCTCCCAGGACAGACAATATGGAGCACTATTAAGAAGTGAAAGAAAAAGAGAGTTCGTATGAAGATGTCTATCGAGTTTACAACAAGGCATAAACGAGGACATTAACAAAATGATGTACCTCATATCTAGAAGAAACTTCATAAAACCGCAAACGATGAAGTATATAAGTAGCAAGAGAGGCTACATCATGCCGCAGATTGTGCAATAATAACTTCAACAATTGATTGTATCGCTCACTAGTACCAGAAGGTATATTTTCATCCTCACGAGGCCACCATCCAAGGAAACCTTCGCAGCCAACTGAATGAGAAGTTGCCTGTTCAATAACTCCAAGGTGCAGCAATTTGAGAGCACTAGAGTTCTGCAAGCTACTAACAAAACAATAACCAAGCTGCTCCATGCCACCACAATTAACAAAATGATAGCAGCTTTCTCTTGCCAAAGACACTAGAAGATCCAGAGTCAAACAGAGAACCATGTTCTCTCTCTGAAATGAGAAATCATAATCATATTACAAAATTTATGTTGAGATAAAAAATAATCTCGCCCAGGAATAATATCCACAGCAAATTTAATAGCACAAGAGAGTAACAATGACACCAAATATTTTTGTGGGATAAAATACAATACCCGAGTAGAACAATATTATTACTATAATATTACAACTGGTAGTGTCAAGAGACTACTACAACTTTGAAAGAAATAACACTTTTTATTTAAAACACCTCACTACAATATTACTACCACTCACTAGTTATCTCACAGACCACAATCTGTGGATTACTCTCACTGCTTTATGCTTCTCACGTTATTTTGGTGTACATCAAAAGAGAAATGAAGCCTGCTATTTATAGAAGATCAGAATGGTTTATTCACTGTAATTTGCAGTGCAAATTACCATCGATCAAAACATGTGTTTGTGACTTTTGCAATTTGGCAACTTTTTCTAGCCGCCTAACTTGAAAATTTTTTCCAGCCACCCTATTTGACTTCTGCAACATTTTCATCTTTTCTCTTTTGTTTCATCTTTTTTATGGGTCCTACAAATCTCTCCGTTAATTTTGATTTTTCTTCTTTATTCTAAGTCTTGATCTCAATCTTTGAAAATCTTCAAATTTGAGAGGCTTTGTGAAGATATTTGCAACTTGATCATGAGACTTCACATATTTGAGCCTGACTTCCTTCTTGGCAATGCACTCTCTGATGAAATGATACCTTGTATCTATATGCTTGCTTCGATCATGATACACCAGATTCTTGGCGAGTGCTTGTGCATATTTGTTATCAATACAAATCTCTGTAGCCTCAATTTGTGATAAATTGAGCTTCTTCAATAATCTTCTTAGCCAAATAGCATGACAGGTACATGATGTTGCTGCTATATATTCGGCTTCACAAGTCGAGAGAGTAACTATGGACTGTTTTTTTGAACTCCAAGAAATAACAGATTCACCCAAGAAAAATACAAAACCAGTTGTACTTTTTCTATCATCAATATCTCCCGCATAATCGCTATCACAAAATCCCACAAGGTTGAAATCATTAGAAGAAGAATAAAATAACCCATAATTGATCGTACCTTTTAGGTAACGAAGAATTCTTCTAATGACCTTCAGGTGAGTAGAGGTAGGAGCCTCCATGAAGCGACTTACTACTCCAACTGCAAAAACTATATCTGGCCTAGTACAAGTAAAGTACCTCAAACTTCCTACAAGACTTTTGAAGAATGTGGGATCCACTTTTTCTCCTTCATCAAACTTGGACAATTTTGTCCCATTTTCCATCGGTGTGTTCACAGGGTTGCAATCGAGCATGTTGAACTTCTTCAATATCTCCTTTGTATAGCTTTCTTGAGAGATAAAAATTTCATCCTCCATCTGCTTCACTTCTAGGCCCAGGTAATATGACATGGGCCCTATGTCTGTCATCTCGAACTCACGGGATATATCTTTTTTGAAAGCTTCAAACAAACTTGGGTTATTACCCGTGAAAATAAGATCATCAACATAAAGACAAACAAGTAAGATATCTCCATTAGTATGAACTTTAAGGTAAAGAGCATATTCATGGAGACAACGAGTAAACCCATTGTCTTGAAAATACTTGTCGATGCAACTATTCCATGCTCGTGGGACTTGCTTTAATCCATATAAAGCTTTCTTCAACCACAACACTTTATCTTCATGGTTTTTGACCATGAAACCCAATGGTTGTTCAACATAGACTTCTTCTTCAAGATAGTCATTCAAGAAGGCTGACTTGACATCTAGTTGATGAATCTTCCACTTCATTTGTGCCGTCAAAGAGATCAGCAAACGAATAGTCTCCATGCGGGTAACAGGTGCATACACTTATTCATAGTCAATGCCTTGCCTTTGCTTGTAGCCTTTAGCCACAAGTCGTGCCTTGTATTTCTCCACATCTCCATCAACATTCTTCTTTGTTTTGTATATCCATTTAACTCTAATTGCTCGATGACCCTTGGGAAGAGTTGTTAACTCCCAAGTGTTGTTCTTCTCTATTGACTTGATCTCCTCCTCCATGGCTTGTTTCCACCTTTTGTCTGTAACAGCTTCATCAAAGTTCATTTGTTCACTATCAGCAAAGAGACAATATAAAAAATCAAAATTAGTAACTTCTTCTGTGTCATCATAGACTTGAATGCTCCTTGTCCTTTGCGGCTGTTCGCTTGAACTTTCTTGAGAAGAAGGAGATGCAACATTGGTTGGAGAAGGGGGTGGAGTTGTATCCTGCACAGGTTCCACGGTCTCTGGTTCTTCTTCATCACCAAAGTATGGAAGAAAATCATATGAAGTTTCTTCCTCAGCTTCCCAATTCCATGCCAGTTCTTCATCAAATACAACATCACGACTTACCACCACTTTTCCGCTGCTTGGGTTGTATAGCTTGTAGCCTTTTGAACTCGTATCATAGCCAACAAACACATGCTTGACACTTCGATCGTCAAGCTTTGCTCTCCCTTGATGTGGCACATGAGCATAGGCTATGCTCCCAAAGATTCTCAAGTGCTTGACACTTGGCTTTCTTCCACTCCATGCTTCTTGAGGGGTTTGATCTCTAACATTTCTTGTTGGAGACCTGTTATTCAAATAAACTGCACAAGAAACAGCTTTGGCCTAAAATTCCTTGGGCATACTTTTAGCTTTCAACATACATCTAGCCATATTAAGAATCGTTCGATTCTTTCTCTCTGCAACACCATTTTGTTGAGGTGAATAAGGTACCGTTAGAGGGCGACGAATTCCATAAAGTTGACAGAAGTCATTAAATTCGCTTGAAGTGAATTCGCCTCCTCTATCGGACCTTAGAGCATTAATTTCATAGCCACTTTTTCCACAACTACTTTGAAATTTTTAAAAGTAGCAAAAGCTTCAAATTTTTGGTTCAAGAAATAAACCCAAGTCTTTCTACTAAAGTCATCAATAAAAAGCAGAAAGTATTTTCTTTTACCAAAAGAAGGTGGATTGATTGGTCTACACACATCAGTGTGGACAAGCTGGAGCGGCTTGGTTGATCTTGACATGGTCTCCTTTGGAAAACTCCTCCTTGCATGTTTTCCAAGAAGACAAGCTTCACACAATTGATTGGGATGGTTAATTGATGGTATCCCATGCACCATGTTCTTTTCTCCCATTGATTTGAGCGCTTCAAAATTTAAGTGCCCAAATCGCATGTGCCAACACCATGATTCATCTTGCACATTAGCCTTCAAACACTTTGCATCAATTGTTTTAAGATTCAGAGAAAACAATCTATTCTTTGCCATATGCACTTTAGCAATTAGAATTCCACTTGAATCTCTAAGCCAAAGATGCATATTTTTCATGTGGATGTCATATTCCTTTTCAAGAAGTTGGCCCAAACTTAAAATATTACTTTTTAATTTTGGCACATAATAAACATCTTGAATTAACTTGTGACTACCATCTTTACATAAGATCAGAATCGTACATATCCCTTCGATTTGAACCTTTGAGGTATCTCCAAAGGACACATTACCTCTCACCATTTTATTGATCTCCACAAACTTCTCTTTGCATCCACACATATGATTGCTTGCTCCATTGTCAAAATACCACGAGCTGCAATCATCTCTGTCTTCTTCCTTGAGTGCCATCAACAACGTTGACTCATTTTCTTCTTTCTTGTCGTCAACAAGGTTAGCCTTTTCCTCAATATTGCTACGACATTCCCAAGAGTAATGGACAAATTTATGACAATTATAACATTCAATTTTTTTTGTCATACCTTTGTCCATTATTTTCTTGGTAGTATCCACGTCCTCTTCCTCTCTTTGTCCACGACCACGACCTCTGAATGTTTGGTGGATTTTAACTTCATTGTTGAAGTTGTTACCATTACTTCTTCCTTTTTCATGACCGCCACGGCCTCGTCCTCGTCAGTTTCCTCGATAGCTTGTTTCACCTCCATAATCCTTGAAGGATGCCTGAGTTTTAAGAAGTTGCTTCAATGACACTTCTTTTCTCCTTTTGATCTTTTCTTCGTGGGCTTGTAAAGAACCTTCCAATTACTCCACCATTACAGATTCTAAATTTTTAGACTCCTCAATAGCACACACCACAAAATCAAATTTAGGTGTTAAAGTGCGAAGGATCTTTTCTACCACACGGACATCTTCTATGTCCTCCCCGTATCTTCTTAGTTGATTTACAATAGCCTTCACTTTTAAAAAATAATCCGAGATGCATTCGGATTCTTTCATTTTTAAAGCTTCAAAATCAGCCCTTAGAGTTTGAAGTTTTACCTTTTTTACCTTGTCAACTCCTTGAAAAGAATTTTGTAAAATCCCCCAAGCTTCCTTTGAGGTGGTAGCATCTGCCACCTTCTCAAACATGGCATCGTCCAAACATTGGTGAATGAGCGTGAGGGCTTGTTGATCCTTCTTCCTTGTCTTTGCCAAGACTTCTTTTTCAGTTTGAGGCAGAGCTTCCTCATTATCTGGTTTTGTATACCCTCTGTCTACGATTTCCCACACATCTTGGAAGCCAAGAATGACTTTCATACGTAGACACCATTTTTCATAATTATCTTTTGTGAGACGGGGGTACTGAAAAGATAGCAGACCATTATTTTCCATGGCTCTGATACCACATTTTTGGGATAAAAATAATCTCGCCCAGGAATAATATCCACAGCAAATAATAATAGCACAAGAGAGTAACAATGACACCAAATATTTTTGCGAGATAAAATACAATACCCGAGTAGAGCAATATTATTACTATAATATTACAACTAGTAGTGTCAAGAGACTACTACAACTTTGAAAGAAATAACACTCTTTATTTAAAACACCTTACTACAATATTACTAGCACTCACTAGTTATCTCACATACCACAATCTGTGGATTACTCTTACTTCTTTATGCTTCTCACGTTATTTTGGTGTACATCAAAAGAGAAATGGAGCCTGCTATTTATAGAAGATCAGAATGGTTTATTCA